ATGCTATACGAAGTTATTACGCATGCGACAAGAACTCTCTTTATTTTTGTATCTGCTGGAAAATGATATGCTAGGTTCACGAACATTTCGGCCGTGTTGCAATAGACACAGTAGTTTGTGCCCGGTTCACTTACGCCGGAGTGACTTATTAAAAACAATACCAAGCCAAATTCGTTTATTAAAGTGGTATTTGTCTCGTACGTGGGTTGCAGATATGGACAAAGCCACGTTAGAAGAACTGACTTTCATTCAGCTAAAGGAACATGCCAGAAGGTATGAATTACCGGCCGTGAATGACCGGAGGAAGCTTATAGCTTCTTTGCTCACGTACTTTGAGAATAATTCTCAGTTGCCGGAATTAACGGGTCAGGAGCCGACCGGGGGAGCCTCGCTAGACCTCCCGGCGGAACGATATTTTTCTCTAGAAACTATTGCTGATACCATGCATCAATGTATGCGACAGCAACAACAAATGATGAAGTAGATGAGTGAACTAACCGCAGTCGTTAATGAACGAGAAACTCGGCATGGACGTAGTGAAGATGAGCCGTCCACGGATTTTCCACCGCGTCGTGAAATTTCAAGAAACCTAAACAGTCCGATGAACCATTCAGCTGCATTATTAAGTGCATTTCCACCGGCGAATGCCGTCTTGCTTTTGGCCAAACAAATACCTGAGTTTGGAGAGCAGGAGAAAGAAAATGTAACACTATGGGTACAGCGCGTGGAAAAAATAGCGCAAGTTCATGGTGTATCGGACGACGTCATTCTCCTCGCCGCGTCCAGCAAACTAGTTAATGCTGCTCAGAATTAACGAGTTGGCAAATTTCATCGTCAGTAAGCTCATGTTCACAATCGTCACCATTAGCCCATTCATCAGTATCATTCTTCTCGACGTTTGCACAACCAGGGATTTGCTGCATCATGCTATGCAAATCTATATTGTCTAGAACTTCATCGCTTTGGCTGTCAGAATTCAGAATTTTTGCCCATGATTTCTGTATTGTGGACCTTTGAATAGCATCCCAAGCTTGAGCTGACCAGTAAATCACATTTTTCATGTTAATCGCAAGTAAGCACTCCTTAAATGTCTTGTTGTTACTGCTATTTTCTAGAAGTGTTTGAAGTAAGAAACGCCGGTAGTGACGTTTGAGTGTTTCTAATACTCCTTGATCCATTGGTTGTGCAATGGAAGTCACATTTGGTGGAAAAAATTTCACAACGATATTTCCACTTTTCAGAATTGACTCGTTTGGGTGAGATGGAGCATTGTCGAGTAAAAGAATCGCTTTTCTGAGAAGTCCATTTTTTTTCAAGAATCTTTCAACTGAAGGAACAAATTCGTCGAAAACTGAGTCGGAGA